ATTTAATTATTTATATTAAAAATTTATATAGATTTATTTACAAATATTTAATAAATCATAATAATTTGAAACACATAATGTGAGATAATCAACATTTTTGTATACACACACACACACACACACACATTTATATTTATTATATTTTATATTCATTAAATAAATAAACATGGATAAAATAAAAGATATTTATTTAACTTAGTTTAAATTGCGATCTACTCGAATTATTAATTCGTGTTGTTTATTAAATATGTTCAGAAACAATAGCAATTACATATATTAAAATTTTTATTAACTTCAAATTATAGAAAAGATTAGATATTTAAATGTATGTATATTTATATGTACATTGCTTTGCTATTGTTTACTGTACATTGTATACATATTATTATATATCTTTATTCCAAAGTAATTGTACTACATTAAAAACTTTAAAATAGAAAAGATCTCAAAAATAATACAATCAAATATATAATTCATAGATGTTTGATTGCATTGGAAAAAATTGCATATATTATTCTTTTATTAACATTTCTTATTATTTATATTATTTTTTATATTTATATTAAATATTTTTTACAATATTTTGTATTAAATATTTATATATAACGATTTTTGGGATAAGAATATGTAACAATATGTTGTAGCGCTTCTATTGTTGTGTTTCCAATAAGCGCAAAAAATTATGATGTTATTATAAGTAATTGATATTTTAATATTATATAATTAACATTGTTTTCCTTTCAGATTTTATAATGAATTATTTCTTTTACTATAATTATATTGATATTATCTATAGAGTTGCTTGTTGCAGATAGATTTGGAGACGTCTGAAGGGCGGATCACTTTCAATAAAGAGGCGTGGATACCATTGAATCAACGCCATATTGCAGCATGTAACGTATGCATAGTGGGGGTTTTAGTGAGTAAGAATCTCACACTACCCCAGAAAATCGGGGTGCCTTTTGAAGGTTTCCCCCACGTAAAAAAAAACGCTGCTGCCATGTTGCTCTAACTTCAATTAATTAATAATGCAATATAATAATCAACAATTATTTGTATATAATAATATATATAGGTAGTATATTTTAATATATAAAAATATTAAAAAATATTTTTTTAAGATTAATAGAGAAAAAGAATATTTTTTTAAATATTCTTTTTCAATTTATAATTTTTAAATTAATTAATCTTTAATCTTTAAAATTGTAATCCGCCTTTCTTAATTTTAAAAATCTGATTTTACATTCATTATTTATCAGTGAAGAAATTTTTACATTAATATCTGTGAAAAAAGTGAACCATTCTATCGAACCTCTAAAGACTTTGTATTAGTAGTATAAGGAAACGTGCGAAAAATATTTTCAATTTTTTAATTTAGTTTTTTCAATAAACTGTTTATAGGTTCGACCTTTTATATATTTTTTACATAAACTACAAGAAGTTTTATTTTGAGCCGTCGTAGCACTTTTTATCACATCCCAATTTAAAGCTATATATTTTACGGAAAAGTATCTAAAATGCCCTTTTTTGCATCTTTAGATCACGATATCTAAAAAACGTGACGTGATACGCAATTTTTGCGGCCGAATTTGTAATCGGCATGAAAAAAATCTACAAAAATACGCTTTGGAAATCTTCGAACCTAAAAAAAGTCATTTTTTGTTGACCAGTGTTATTGATTGAAGCATAGCACAAACTGAACATTTTATATTGTATACATTGTCTGCATAATATTTTACTTATTTATAAAATATATAATATATAAGTTTATATATATGCACACACATAGATATGACAATAGCGTTATCGTGATTTTTTTCGATTATTGAAGTTATATTGTATAATCTCTCTCTTATCTCTTTCTCTCTGCTACATAAATACTATTATAACGTAAAAGAACTTACGAGTAACGTATGATGGCTCAATGCAATAATATTCAATCACGTAAAAAACTTGAGTTCAAATATATCAATATCAATTTTTTTATAATATATTAGAATATAGAAAAATTATAGAAATATAAGGCGATAAACTTGAAAATTTTTAAATATTGAAAATATTTTAATCATTTTTACAATTACATACACTATATATATATATATATATATATAAATGCAAAATAAATCCGTAAATAAATTTATCAAGTAATAAATCCGTTGCATGCTTGCAGCTACATATACACACACAAATAGCTGGTATGTTGATTTTTATTAAAAATTTATTTTCTGTATTATTTTGCATTTATATAGTGTGTATGTGGGTGTGTGTGTGTGTGTGTGTGTGCGCACGCGCGCGTGTAGTAAAAATATTTTCAATATATTTATAAAATTTTTATTGCCGAAATATATTTTTTTATCATTTCTCTGTATTCCAATATATTATTAAAAAATTGATATTGATATATTTGAACTCTAATAATTTACTGGGTGATACATACTGAACATCCTTTGCATTGATCAATATTACTCGACATAAGTTCTTTTATGTTATAAGTATTTATGGAGCAAATTATACAATAACATCAATAATAGAAAAGAAATCAAGAATAACCAACGCATATTCGTCAATCTATGATTGCTATACAAGCTAATAATAATTTATATTCGTTCTCTTATTCTTGTCTCTCGAAAAAGTATAAGCAATAAATTATCAAATCTAACAAGTACCCGTGTCTAACATTGTAGACTAATTTACTTTCAATTATGCTACTGTTATTATTTATCATTAGACAATTATAAAACATATATATATATAGCACTACAAATTATATATGTATATGTTTTATAATTTATTTTATATTTTATTATTTGACAAGTTAAATCTCTCCAAATCATAATTTGCGCTTAAATTTTAAAGACAAAATGCTGTAACTCTCTGATATTCCAATCTGTATTTTTGAAAAGGACCACATCCCGTATGGTCAAAACGTTAAAATAAATATATATACAACTTTAATTTGAGGCCAGTGTAGTCAGACCAAATCTCTAACCTCTGTTTTATAATTGTCTAATGATAAATAATAACAGTAGCATATATAATTGAGAGTAAATTAGTATATTTTATATATATATATATTATATATAAATAATATATCCACATATGTGCATAAGCATATATAAAATTTACAAAAATGGGTGCTTATTAGTCTTGCTACGTTACTGCTTTCTGCTACGGAAGGCCAGAAAGCATTTTTAGGCGGCATCTCGCGTATACCGGCAAGGTAGAGAAACAAGGAGAACACGTGATTATCGGTCCTTGTCTCTCTTACGTGCGTCCGCGTGAGCGATGCAGTGGTGTATGTACGTGTACAGACATACACCACTACATAAAACCCGAGAATTGGTTTCTCGGCGTTGGCAACACTGAAACCGGAGTTTCGCGTTGTCACCGCACGAGGTCTCCAATATCAATTCGGAGTTTGCCTGGGTGTACTGCCGACCCTTAATGACATTAGTTTGCTACCTGGACACAGTATAACCATACCCAGTAGCGACAGTGAGCGTCGGCACCTTTGATGTAGTATGTCTCAATTCGGCAACGTCACATGGTATGCCGCCATATTGCTAAGGGTAACGGGCGCTACGATTCAAATGTATGTACACACGGGAATAGGAATACTTTTTTGAAGTTACACGCATATTAGGCATAATCCGACATGCTTCGATATTTTGATATTCGTGTTATGACTATAGATATTCGATAACGCTGTCTCAGTAAAATATTAAAATAATATATAAAGATATAATATATAAATAAAATATTATAAACAAATATAAATATATTAAGCTGTAAAACACGTAATCGAGTTATGTCCGATATATGTGTGACACGTTAATTTCACGGTCATTTTATTTTTCCAACCACAATTTTGCTCTGAAAAACGTTTTATACACAAAATATTAGGAAGAAAATATTTGATATATAATTAACATTTATATATATTTATATTTGTAAATTACAAATTTATTAATAACAATTAGTTTTATATACCTATCTGGATCTTTTGGGAAAAAGAAAAAACTGAGACCAGGTTTTTACGCTTAGAAATATTTTAACAATTTTTCATAGCGCAACTGTATCCACCTTTCTTCACAGATGACATCACGAATGAGTAAAGAGGAAACAATTAAATTTCAAGCGAGATTTATCGAGCTAATTATCTTATTACGCGATTTCTAGCACTACACAACATATAATAACCCGCTTACAGCAGCTGACGGCAGCCATGTTGCTAAGGGGTGCGTTCCGTTATGCACTGCAAGTACTGACAGTACTACCAATAGCGTTCCGATATAGGGTGCGTTCCGTTATGCACTGCAAGTACTGACAGTACTACCAATAGCGTTCCGATATAGATAGCAGTGCACTGCGAAAGTACTATCATGAGTATATGACGTCATTAATTTTGACGTTATTTCCTGTTGCGATTACTGCAACCGGCGAGGTAAAGCACTCGCAGTAATCAAGATGGCTACCTCCATGTGTACGATGGAACTAACTTTTAAATTCCATATCTGAATATAATGATACAATATTTTTAACGTAATTTTTACATTTTATTCTAGGTATTTTAATTTGTCGTCTCATTTCATTTATTAATTCCATTTCCAAATCGCTTTCACTTGATGACTCACTCGAATCATATATATTCTCGATTAAATTATATGTAATTAATGCAATAATGGTATTATCCATTTCACCAATTTTTCACTCGATGATTATTAGCGAAAAAGGTTAGTTAAAAGTCTGCTGAAAGCGTACTGTAGTGCGTTCCGTTTTACTATTTTGCAGTAGCTTCAAAGTGCACAAAATTAAAAAGGAACGCTGTCAACAGTACACTTGCATGACGTCATAGTGCCAGTACTTGCAGTGCATAACGGAACGCACCCTTTACCTCGCCGGTTGCAGTAATCGCAACAGGAAATAACGTCAAAATTAATGACGTCATATACTCATGATAGTACTTTCGCAGTACACTGCTATCTATATCGGAACGCTATTGGTAGTACTGTCAGTACTTGCAGTGCATAACGGAACGCACCCTAAATGACCCACTGTCGCTACTGGGTATGGTTATACTGTGGTGATGACGTAATTCTTGATCGCGACTGTCATATTTGACAATTGAATGATAACCTTTTTTTCCCTTTCCGTAAAATTCGAGTGACAAACACTAATTGTTATAAATGCAATACATTTTCTTTTGCGACGACTTACTGATTTGTCATTACTAGACATTACGTCGATAAAGAAAGGCACTTTAGGGATCTAAGTGCATTTTATTTTTTTGTGGTTAGGTTTTCATTTTTCTTCAACACGGGGGCCGAACAATCAGCGATGTCCGTCTCTCAAATGGAAAGTATCCTTAAATATTATATTTTTTTGTTCCAAAATATTGATTAAGTATTTTATTATTTATATACTTTTCAAACTCTGTTTTTTATGAAGTGAAGTTTGCAGCAAGTCTCTCGTCTTCGAAGAAGATATTTACGTCATAGAAATTGTCAAGAGTGTAAATTTGTTTTTTATATTTTTTTATAAATATTTCTACACATTTATAAAAATCACGAAATATCCTTTTTCTTACCAAGATAGCAAGTGTACGTCAAATGACATTTCGATGTCAATGACGTCATTTTAACGCATTTTGACGTCATTGCTATTTGGATAATTTTTAAACAAATACAAATACTCTGGTTACAAGAACTATTTTCCTTAATTGGTGGAATGCAGAAAATCTATTCAATTTGAAGTTCGCAGTGAAGGAGTTGGAGAGAAACTCGAAGAAATGCGAGAAGGAGGAGAAAATAGAGAAATCAAAGATCAAGAAGGCGATACAGAAAGGGAATATGGAAGGTGCTCGCATCCACGCGGAGAACGCGATTCGGCAGAAGAACCAGGCCTTGAATTACCTCAGGATGAGCGCCAGGGTGGATGCGGTGGCCAGCAGAGTGCAGACCGCACTTACAACTCGCAAGGTCACCCAATCTATGGCCGGTGTTGTTAAAGCCATGGATGCAGCAATGAAGTCGATGAACTTGGAGAAAATCTCTGGACTCATGGATAAGTTTGAGAGCCAGTTCGAGGACCTGGACGTACAGAGTTCATATATGGAAAATGCTATGTCGCAAACTACAACCACCAATGTACCTCAGAATGACGTAGACGCTCTAATGCAACAAGTTGCAGATGAAGCTGGGTAAGAGAGTTTATTTACTTTTATTTCTGTTACAATTTAAATTTATTTTATAATTAAAAGGAGACGAGGATTTCAATTTTTTAATTCTCAGTGTGTTTATTATGAAAAAAAATTCGTTCTCAATTTTATATAAAACATTTATATTATATACTAAAAAAAAATTATTTAATTTAATCTAATTTATTTGCAGCCTGGAGCTAAACATGGAGTTGCCTGCTGGTCAACTGGGCAGTATTGGTACTTCAACAGCAGTAAGCCAAGAACAAGATGAGCTAACACAGAGACTGGCACGACTCAGAGAGTAATAGCAAAATAATTAATTGTGTACACACACACACACATATATGTATATACATATATACACAATTAATATATAATTAAAATATTTTATAAGTTACGTAATGTAATAATATAACAAGTTATATATATTCCCAATATTTTTTTTGATATTTTACATTGTTACATATGTCGTAATATTTTTAATATTGGGAGAAAGTCCAAACAAATAAGAAAATTAAAAGGAAGAGAATTCTAAATAACTTATAACATCTTTGTAGTTATATGTAAACAATATCAAGCTTTAGTGATGAAATGAGGTCATAAAGATTGCATTAGCTTTTTATCTTGAAGGTTTGTAGAATATTACATTCTTAATTGATCTCTTACTCTGTTTATATTTGTTTAAACTTTCAATTTTTGAAATCTCACGATTATATAAAAATTTACTCATTTTCAGAAATTAATAGGATGGACAGTTATCTGTCTTTTTAAATGTAAAATTAGAAAGCATTAGTTAAAACACTTTGTGATTAATTCATTGAATATTTCAACAAATGTAGTTTAATCATGAAATATCTCATGTAATGTTTTGTTATAAAAATCAATGTGAGAGATTTATGTAAATTCAAGATAAATATTTACCAGCTTAAAAGTATTTCAACATTAAGATTTAGATTATCTTTTGAAAAACAAAATTACATATATATATATATATATATATATATATATATATATATATGTGTGTATATATAATAGTCAAGCTAACAAAAAGTGCAAAATATAATTAATTTTACAATAATTTACTATTTTAGTATCTTAACTCTTAAATTAATATTAACTAATATTATATTAAAAGTGTCACTATTAAGTTAGTATTTGTATAAATAAGTATGTAAGTGTGTATGTAAATATATTTATAATTAATTTTTCTTAGCATAAAATATTCTTTTATTTTCTTTAAAAAATCAGTACATGTAAAACTACATGCTTATAAAAATAAATTTATAAAAATGGTAACAATACAAAAAGTATATAAATATGATATTTTTTAAAACGGCCAACAGAGCCAAAGCACGAAAAATTAATTATTCGGAACTGTATCTCTTGGTTTGAGATCACTAAGTTCCATATATAAATTAATCTCGAAACTTACATATGGAGAAATAGGCGTGAAAAATATAGGTCCGAAAAGTCCGAATAATTAATTTTTCGTGCTTTGGCTCTGTTGGCCGTTTTAAAAAACATCATATTTATATTCTTAATATTGAGAGCCGATAAAAATATTTTTTTCTAATATAAAAAGTTTTCTTTTGAATTTATTGAAATATTGAAGCTCTTAAAACACTACTAAATAAGAATATTAAAAAAATTTATATGTATATAATATCAAAAAGCACATACACACACATTGCAGTTATGTAAAATCAATATTGTTAAAATATATTAAAAATAAATATTATTTCGCATTTTTGTCGTCTCTTGAATATCGAAAATAAAATACAAATACTAGATGTAAAATGAAATTTGTTGAATAAAATTATTATGTAATAAAATATTTTATTTTTTAAGATATCGTTTATTATTTGTATATATGTTGCGTTTTAAAAATGCATAAAATCTTAAAAAACATTAATTAATAACAATTAAACTCTGTTAAAATGTATTTGTATCTTTTTCACATTTCTGCTTTTTAAATTTCCCGCGTCATCGCTGATTGGTGCCGCCATTTTGTATCATGCCAATATACTTCTAGGGACTTTAACATTAAAACAACATTACTTAATTTTTGTGATCTTCATTATAAACACAGAGAAGAGGAACATCAACCATTGTTTTGTTCAATTTGTCGATATTGTGATCGAGAAAAAACGAGAAAACGTGAGAATGAATGAAAACTTGCTGAAACGGATAAAAAAGCAGCTAAATGCAAAATTTTACACGATGAACGACGCGTGGCTGCGAGATTGCGTCACATATTTTATCAGAGATGAAATTCATGAAGTATGCAGAATTGTTTTTTATCACTTATCGTTAATTAAAAATTATGAATCATATTAAAATTATGAAATCACAACATACACACACACACACACACACATATATATATATATATATATATATATATATATATATATAAACTTGTTTAAAACATTTTTTCAAAAAATTTTTGTTTCCACGATATTTAACTGTTACAGGACTTGAGACACCCTGTATATATAAAATATTTTTTTATTTATATAATAATAGATAGTAATAAATTAATATTTAATATATGATAAAATATGTAATAACAATATAATGGAATAATATTTACGATATTTAACTGCTGCAAGACTTTTGAGACACCCTGTATATATAAAATATTTTTTATAAATTTTTAATATATAGCAATAAATTAATATTTAATATATAATAAAATGTGTAATAACAAATTAATATAATAAAATAATAAAAATAATTGAAATAAACTATTAAATAATTTAATATAATAAATTTAATAAACAATTTGGTGCATTAGATTACTTAATAATATTAACAATTATCATTACAGATAACAGACAGGCACATTCTGGAATTTGTCGAGAGCCAGTGGCAACTGAGTGATCTGCGGGAGATCAACAATGAGAATGGTTGTTTGCCAAAGAACTTGACACAACAAGTCCACACTCAGTTGACTGGTACCTATATACTTCAGGTGAGCTTCGCAGAACATTTTGTTTTGGTGCATGTTCCTCCAGGGATCCAAATTATTGTACATGAAGGTATCGAAAGCATAGGTGGACAAGATGTACGACATAGCGAATTCTAAGTATAAACAACTTTGTGAAATTCGTAAATCAATCAATAGCGAGAACTTGGCGGTGACAGAAGGGGAGAAGCAAGCTGAATGGGAGTTCAAAGCCAGAAGAATGATACAGCTGTGTCTCACCGATGGAGTGCAAGATATCACTGCGATAGAATATATGCCGCTTAAACAGATGACTGTAAGAATTCTTGTTACATTTTTTTATGGCAAAAAAATCTTGAACAAATAACTTCTCTGTCTAAATTGCTCAATTAAATAGTAATAATAATTACGTATAATTGTTCTTTTCCAGAATATGTTGCTTCCTGGATACAAAGTGATGATAATTGGTCCAGTCAGTTGTAGACGTGGAGTTATTCTCTTGGAAGATGGCAAGTACAAGGAAATCGGGGGGGAAGTGGAATCTCTATTGAAGCCCAATGCGTTGGAGAACGTCCTGGCTAGAGCTATGTAAGACTGTTGACTTCTTTTTGGACTCGAGATTTCTGTGTTTTCACTGTAGTTATTTATTATAATTCATAAGCAAAAAAGAAAAATCATGGATTTTTTCTAACACAATATATCGAAATAAAAAACCCAGGTAGCAAGTGTACGTCATTTTGATGTTTATTAACGTCATTTTGACATCATCGACATCAAAATGACGTACGCTTGCTATCTGGTCATTGAACGTGAATATGACGTCATTTTGACGTTTAATGATGTCAGTTTACTACTGGAAATTTTTATTTTAATTCTCTAACTTTAGTTTCTCGACCTTATATTTGTTTGATTTTCTCTAGTGCAGAACCAGAAAATTCTGATCCATACAACGACAATAGGCTGCCCAAAGCCATGAATCAGAATATCGAAAATAATTCTAGACAGTCCAGCAGCAAGGACAGTTTATTTAATGATGACTTTGAGGAGATCGTCGATCTGGAAGCAATGACGGCGATCGAACGGCAAAATCAGGAAGTTGAAATTGTTCAAGATTGCTCCAGAAATATGTATAATCAGAAACCAGTAAACAGACAAACGACGGAAATTATGGAAGATTTAGAAGATATAGATTTTGAACCCTTAGAGAATTGGTTGGTATTAAATATATTAATTTTAATAAATTAATAAAATAAGTTTAATAAATTATTTAAAATAAAATATACAAAAAAATTTATATAATTTTGGAAAAATGTATATAATTTTGGAAAAATGTATATAATTTTGGAAAAAATTTATATAATTTTGGAAAAATTTAAAAAGAAAAAATTTAGGTGTAATTAAATTATTAATTATCAATAAACATTTTATAATTAAAATTAAAAATTATTTTATATGTAAATATATTTTTAATATTAATAATAAATCTTATTAATAATTTTAATTTATTATTAATCATATTTAAATAGTAATTAATATATATTAAAATATGTAAAATATTTATATATAAAAAATTAGAATACATTTATAAAATATTAAAAATAAATATATTAAATATATATATATATATGTGTATATATAAATAATTAAATATTTATTAATAATTAAATATTTATATATACATATATATATATATATATATATATATATAATTTAAAATTTGTAATTAAAATTTTTATCTTCAAAAATATTGTTTCTAGAAAATTTTGTCATTTTAGGCCTAATGATTCCTTCACAAGATCCGCTGTGTCTGCATCGGATAGAGATCGAATAGAAATTGAACAATTCCATAACAAAGATGATATAATGATAGTCGAAGAAGTATCGTACTCAGCGCATGAATCTCGCAACAAGTCGCTACCTTCTACAAGTACTTTCAAAGATGAATATGTTTCGGAATTTCTCAATAATGATTTCCATTTCGACGTCAATTACGATCTCGTAATTGACGCCGAAAAATCACGAAGGTTTTTTTTATTTTTATATTTCATTTCCTTTATATTATTTCTCCAATTTTTATCTTCGTATTTATTTACTTCATATTTCAGTCAACAAGATAAGAGTCTTTTAAAAAGTGAAACCAAAGCGCATTCCTCGTCATTAATGTCTAAATCGAAATTGCCAACTCCTGATACCTTAATGGAAGTTGAAAAAAATATTTCCACGGAAGTTTTGGCAAAACAAAATAAAAAATTTACAGTATGTTTGCAATAATATATACGTGTATAGGATGTTAAAAAAGGATTCAAAATTATAGAATATACAGGGTAATAAATAATGAGACCAATCAATTGGTGTAAAGAAAACACATAGTTGCTTTTAAAAAAAGTACGCAGCTGCATGTTGCAAATTACATACTTTTTTTAAAAATAATTATTTGATCTCATTATTCCGTGCAAGTACTGAGATAAGATTATCGAAAACTGAATATTTTACATTTTATGTCAAAAAATTGTTAACTTCAAATCTTAATAACTCAAAAAATGCTTAAGAGAAAAATATTTTATTACTAAAAATAAGAACTGTTTTTTTAACATTAAATTTTTTTTATGAAAATTGCTTTCCTCGTGTGCTTAATTCCTTATTTTTTTCTAAAGGCGAATAGCTCGAGTGCAGTCCAGCAAACAACGAACATCGAAACAATCTCTAACGTTCTGAGGATATCATCCGAGCCTATCGTAGGAAAGATACATAAAATAGTGAAAGCTCAAGTAAAGAGTCATTCGACATTGAAAAAAGAGGGTAAACACTGGGCAGTAACAGCACTGATTGCGGATCACACCTCCAGTATTGAAGTCTGCTTTGAGTCTGATGTAAATAATGCAGAAAAATAATTCCTTATAAAGTTTTCTAATTTTTTACTACAGTCACGTTAAATTATGATATGAAAATTGAAAGATTAAATGCACACAAAAATCTTTTATTTAGTTTTGTTTCAAAATTTGTATGTATAAATTAATACATAAATTTAATTAGTAATTTAAACAAATCTTATAACCACACATTTATTTTGTAAAAAAAATTTTTAATATATTTTACTAGTTTATAACAGAAAAAACAATGCAATGACAAATCACGTGCAAAATAAATTTGTCAACATATAACAGGAAAAAGACTCCGTTTTTGATATAATTTAATATGGCTGTAGAAGAATTAGATATTGTTAGAAAATCGATATCTTTTACAAATACGAATTACTTAAATTATTTTTGTAGGTCCTTGAGAAATTTCTCGGATTCACTGTACAGGAATTTGTGCAAAAAAGAAACTTGCTAAGTTAGATTCTGAAGTGAATAATGAACTAAGACAGGTAAGTTGAATATTTAAACAATAATTGATATAAAGAATTTCTTTAAAATTCCAGTTTTTATAGAATTTACGCAAGGCGCAATATCAAATTCAAAATCTACATGCATTATTAAAATTGGAATTAACTTATGAGAAAATTCCCAAAATCATTGATATTGTGCAACAAAAAGGAGATATGAAAAATAAATAAATAAAGTAAATTAATTAAACTGCAATATATAAACTGCAAAAATGTTTGATAATTTTAAAAACTTCAAAAATATTCATTATTTTGTATAAATATTGAATAGTATAACTGATAATACTAGTAATAAGCGCAAAAATTGTATTTTTAAATTATTTTGTAACAAAAATATCGTATTTTTCAAGAATTTAATGTTATAGGATAATTTTTTACAATTTATAATAAATGCCATTATTAATAAACATAAAGCGCATTATTTCTTAAATTGGTATTTCCTAAAAAAAAAAAATTTTTAATTTAAAAATTCATCAAAATTATTTTCTCTATTATAACTTGAAAATTTGATAAAATTAGATTCTTTACAACAACGAAACGTCATATATTGTGTGACATATGGTATCATTTGTATTTGAAATGTTTAAGTTTTTCACCACCAGAGTGCAGGACAATCATTTCACATAGGGTTTGTTCTTTATTGCTGCACTGGTGAACTAGTGTACACTAGTGCTGTAAGTTAGAGTGAAACAAAATATATTTGTCTTACTTTAACTCATTGCACTAGTTCACCAATGCAGCAACAAAGAACAAACCCATAGTTTTTTTTCAAAACTAATGGCTAATGGTATTGTAAGAAAATTTTCGCTCTATAAGTTTTGTAAATCTTTTTTGTCACTCTTTGCTCTTTCGTTTTTGCTCTACAGTAATTTAAAAAAATATAGCAAAAGTTAGAGCATTTTATTTATACACCTTTTATATATGTAAAAGAATGTAATATATCATTCATGTATACATATATATATATATATATAACAAGAAAACAATTTTCAATTAACGAATTTCATGATCATAGCATTTATTAACTGGTACAATTGATCATTGCGCAGTGATACATTTTCATTTGTTTTCTTTCATTCACTATTGTTTCTCTCACTCACTCACACTTTTATTCACTCATTCACTTGCATATATTCTGTTTTCTATATTCTTTTTCTCTCACTCATTTATTCAACCTAATAACAAGTGCACAGTTTCAATTAATATCGTTTTTTTTCTTTTATTATTACAACAGATTTACGCTTATTGCACACTTTCATGATAACAAAACTCATTCCACTTTCTTTGTCTGTCTCGCATTCTCTCACTCACTCTTTTTCTTCCCTCCTTTTCTCTCCTATCCCACTCTTTTCGCTCACAATCTCTCCAGATACAAAATTAATTATTGAAACATATCGCACTGATGGATTCTGTCTCTAAAAGAGGGTCTGCAAATAAATTGTTTAAATAACAATAATTTAAATATAAATATCAACACAATATGTCACGTGAATTCCTACAATAGTCGACATTGGGTTCATGCACTCTCTATTCTTGATTCTTTCCTCCCAAGTAGCAAGTATACGTCACTTTAACATCGAATAACGTCATCATACATCAAAATGTCATTAGACATCGAATGACGTCATAGACGTCAAAATAATGACGTCAGACATCAAAATGGCGTCATCAGATGTCAAAATGACGTCAGTTTGCTACTTGGGCTTCTTCATCTGCTTTTGATGAGCGCAAACGACACGAATCGCATTCTCATCAATGGCATCAGATCAGTCCATTTTTTCCTGGCCTAACTAATTAGTTCTTCGTAAAATAACATTCTCGCAATATCTTTTTCGTAAGAAAGACACAACGACTGTGCTTCGAGCCTTCGAGTCCTCTGACATCTCTGTGGATCCCCTTTGTTATGGATTTTACTAAAAGACAAGGTTGTCAAAAATTTATGACCATGGGTTTTTATTTCGCCTCGTTCGATTTTTAATTAATAATTAAGTATATAAGAAGTTTTATCTAAATCTAATATTTCTTTAATCCTTGAATTAATAGAAATTACTAATATAAACTGCTTCGATCCTGAATATTTTAAATCCATGAAAACCCAATGAGAAAATCAAGATCATAAGTTTCACTGATCAACAAAAATTAACTTTTGTTTAATTGTCAAGGATGTTTGAACGAATTTTAGGGTATTTGAAGATGCTGAATCCAAAAATGACAAACAGTTTTGCCACATTGGCTCTAATAATGGATTAATACGATTTTACACCATACAGTTTATGTCTTTTTATTCTTTAACATTACAGCATTTTTCTATGTAAATTGTGATTTTCTGAATCAGGTTACTTTGTTTATTTTATTGAATATAAAGCCATTAGATATTTTATATATATATTTTTTTTTTAACGATTTGAAACAGTTTCCACATGATTTAGGTTACACCTGATCATTATATTTTTTATTTTTCATAGGATACCCATTAAAAAGTAGAGCCAAGCTAGGAAAACCAATATTCGGAATCAGCAACAAAAGTATTTTCTATTTAGTGAGACAAATCAACACAAATCTAACGTTTGTTCTTTTTAGCTACATCAGTGCAAAGTTGATCTCTTTTACTCTATATTAGAAGAAAAAAGATAAACTGTGAACTACGGAAACTAAAAAGAGCAGACTTTAGATTTGTGTCGACTTGCGTCACTAAATGGAAGGCACCTAAAGTTATCCTAAGATCTAATTGGTAATAAATTAGTGTTGACCAGTGTTTCAGTTATCGCTTTATTTTTTCCTTAAACAAAATTCATTCAGATTGTGTGTCCTTAATGTCCTTAAAACTTTAGATGTGAAAATTCAGATCTTCAACTGTATAGATTTTTGTTCTTTTTAGCTGAACTTCTTGCGCACACACATACATATACATTTCTTTTTTTTCTCTTTTTTTTTAATCTTATTCTTTATTCCGTTCCAGTTCAGCTAAAAAAACATTTTTTTCGAAACATTGAAATTCTAAAGTTCCTAAAACTCTGAGTTCTTAAAATTCTGGATCTAAATACTTTTCGTGATTCTTCCGATTTGATTATATCAGTAAATTATAGCTTTTACATTTTCTGAATTAAAAAAAAGTTTAATTGCAGAAATTCTGAATTTAAATTTTCTTTATCGCGGATCTACAATATTCGGTATAGTATGAGCTATTTTTTTTCTTAATTGTCGGATTCTTGGGCTCGAAACTTTGAAGGATTGTTGGATCCTCGAAAACTCGTGTAACGCTGCTTGCCATTCCGATTTTCAAGGAAAAATGAGTTAAAAAAACTCTTTTTCGAGGATGTTCAACGAGTTTCTCGTCGCGTCCAAGTTTTTCTCGGCCAAGACGATTTCTTTTCAAGTTCAACAGTACATGAAATGCGCAAATCGATCACCAAGACGGCGAAGATGTCCTTGAGATCATTGGATTGCTTCTATCGATCATAAATCTTGCCGTAGGTGAATCGTGTGAGAACTCTCACAGTTGCTGTTTATATTAAATGTGTGTGTGTACAATCTGCCCACAATGTTGTATCAATATTAATAAATATCGATGAAATGTAGAGTGTATGTGTGTGTGTTGTCTCCAATAGCGATGAGAAAGAGCTATTGCATGTAAAAAAATTTTAGTCATAACTATATAAGGTCGTAATCGACCAATCACAGTCAAGCATTCTCACCAAATGTATATATGTATGTAATAATAAAGGCCATAATACGTGAAAAAATTGTAATCACACCTGCAAGACCGTAAGAAACTCGACCAATCTAGCATTTTTACTACATAGTGCCCAAGTAGATTGACAGATTGACAGTCAGTCTGCTGCATGGGCGAGAATACTCAACTATAAATGGTCGATTTATCTGTAATCTTATACGGGGTCTACAATGGCAGCAACAGTACAGAGTACAAGAGTAAGAAGTACGAAATAGGATTCGCTCATTTCGTCGGAAGTAACGAAATGAGCAAATCCTATTTCGTACTGCTTACTGCTTACTCTTGTACTCTGTACTCTTGCTGCCATTGTAGACCACGCATTACAATTGCGGTTAAAACTTTTTCACGCGTCATGTAGAGTGTTTGACTGTTGATCAGTTTTGTTTTTTTTTTCTTGTTTTATTTTACGGCGATTACGCGACTAAAACTTGTTCATGTGCAACGGCCTAAAAAAAGCAGAGTTCTATTAGAAGTTGCCTAACGTAACCTCGTCATCTCGACAACACAGCGCTCCCAACAGTTATGTAGTGTGTTTATTATGAGTATACATGGTGTGTCTCCATGTATGTATGTTACACGAAGGGTGCTTCGACGATTTACCAAAAGGTATAACCGCCCTCCGTTCCCCCTCCCAGGAACGAACCCTTCTTTTGCGACAGGGCTACGCTATGGCCGGCCATCGCGGCCAGTTGTGCAGCATTCGCGGCCACTCCGGGTGGTGGTGGTGGCAGCACCGGCTGCGAGATGCCATCGAAGCGGGTACCGTCGAAGCCATTCTATAAATACAATTATGAAATTAAAATATAAAATATCTCGTCAACTATTTATTTTTTGGCCATTCTATAAGATGTCTTTAGATCTATCCTAAAACCTGATAATGATCCAGGTAGCAGACTGACGTCATAAAACGTCAAAATGACGTTATCAGCGTCAAAATCATGTCATTCAACGTTAAAATGATGTTATTGACGTGAAAATGACATCATTTTGACGTTTAATGACGTCAGTCTGCTACGTGGGGACAGATTCCTGAGAGACGATTTTTCCTCAGTGAAAATGTCATCGAGGTGCTAATAATTTGATCAAATGATCAATGATGTAGATGTGGAACACTCTATATAACTTTTTATGCCAAATATTGCGAGGAACTGATTTATTTCAAAAATTAGTGATTCCATTAAAAAAAAACTAGACTGACTTTTAAATGATCTTGAAAAAACACCATCCAGACAATTCTAGGGCATGATATTATGTCGTCTCTTTGAAGCCTTATAATTTTTTCTAAAAATCTTATTACTTTTAAAATGAAACGTACTGTACATACAAGGTATCTGGTAATAATCGCCAAATCTCGTGTGCAAACAGAACACTTAAGCTGAATAGAAAAATTCTCTATTTTTTGCGATCTTCGCAATATTGAAAAATTAATTTAAAAAAAAATGGATCAATATATCTGCACGAGTACAAGTGAGTGATAAGAAAAAAGCCTAAAGTTATGCGGTAGTCCAAACATTTATCTAAAAGGCTTTAAATAACATAAGAAGAGAAGTTTAAAGAGAAGAAATTGATTTGAAATAAAAAATTATGATGAATTTTGAGATAACGAATAATTATGAGAAAAATGTATAATAGAAGAGAATAGTAAAAAAGAACAACTATATTATATATATACTTACAGGTACCATAATAGTGGGCCTTACGGGAGCAGGCTGCATAGCGGGATAATATGCCGTTGTCGCAGTTAATGGCGGATAATACTGCAATGGATATCCCGGTGGATAATATTGCAAAGGATATCCTTGTCCGTACATTGGCTGATACATCTAAACATATTTATTTTGATAGATTTTAAACTCAAACTATTTTTCATCTAATCGGGACGGTATCTAATCGGACACTATGAGTGCTTTTCATTTGACACGAATCCTAAGATTTATTCTTTGTAGCTGCACTAGTTCAGAGTTTATTTTTTTTTACTTCACATTAAAAAGATAAAGATAAAGTCGGAACTAGTGTAGCTAAGAATAGACTTTAGATTAGTGTCAACTTGTGTAACTAAAGCACCCATTGTTTAGTTCTAGTCTACAAAGGGTGGTTTAAGGTGATTTAAGAAGATTTAAGAGAAAAATACATCAATCCTAAGCTCCGAATTCTAAGCTTTAAAGTTGGAAGTTGACCAACTCGCTTAAGGCTTAGAGATCAGAATTTAATTTGGAGCTTTTTGTCATAAAATTTAGGGCTTAAATCACCTTCTGTAGACTGGGACTTATTGATTGAGGAGGACTTTCAGAAACAGGACTTTCGGATTGAACAATCGTGTTAGTCACCGTTTTTTCTCGCTGAAGAAACTTTTTATAGGTACCCCCCCCCTCCCCGGATAGAGAGTGAAGATTATGTGGGACTCCTTGTTCCCATTGAAGGAATCAAAAGAGGCCAATAGACACCAGTCGATATGAGTGATTATGTCCAATCGCACTGTATGTCATTTGGGTCTCTTCCTTTTATATGTTTTTCATAGAAATAATAGACTAAATACTAGATAACACTCACCATAGGATGCGTAAGAGTCTGGTCATATGTCGGCGGCGGTGGACCTTGCGTCGCATATAATTGAGGTTGATTGGGAAATACTCCGTAGGGTGCGGCGCCTGCAACTATCGATGGATACGTGTTGTTAGAATCATTCAGTGGTTAGTATAAGACATTAGCTTAATTGAACTCGGTACAATCAATATTCAATATTATCTAAAAGTAACGTTGAAAAGGGGTGACGCCCAATTGGACACATTACTTAGTGGCCAATTGAATACAGAACTTTTCGATTGGTTAATCGTGATAGCCACTAGTCGATATGAATAATTGTGTCCAATCATATTGTGTCCATTTTGGGCTTTTCTCTTTCCCCAAAAAAAGTTGATTAGCGATTTTGCATAGGAAAAATCAACTAATAATCGGATCCAGATTAAATTTCGATCATCACCTCACGTGCTTTTGTATGAGATTAAAGGATTAAGAAAGTCTGATCATTCATTTGTATAAGGAATTAAATTCATTGTTAGATATAAAGATTAAAAAGACATTAATAAAAAGTGACACACGTATTCTAATTTTAAAAATAAAGATTTATAAATCAATTTTATTAGTAACAAATTATTATTACATATTAGTAAAAAATTATTGGTAACAAAGAAAATCTTACTGAAATAATAGCAAAAGAATAGTACCTTACATTTTTACATTTATATATTTATATAGGACAAAAGTCTAAAGAATAAATAAAATAGAAAATATATCATTTACTGTTGAAAATATATCATTTGACAGTTTTTAATAGAAATATATTGTAACAATAACAAAAATCTCTATTTTTTCATATAAAACTTAATATTTTTCTAGTTTATTAAATTAATAATTAATATCAATATATTAATTTCATGAATTCGTATTGAAAAAGCACAAATAAATGCAGAGATGTTCCTAATTATTTAATTTTTTTTATCCTTATACAATATAGTTTTACTTGAAATAAACCATCCAATTATTATATTCATATACAGGCTTTTGAATGATGTTAATTTTTTAATTTACAAATGTTATTATAAATGTATAACAAAAGATAAAAATATCTCTATTATTTAAATTAAGCTATAAAATAAAAATTAAATTGTAAGATACACGATCATTTATTGCGTAATATTTTATTATATATACAATATTTTACGTCCGATATTTTTTTACTCGCCGGGTTTATTAAATTTATCAAGTATTAACTTAGTATGTAAAAAGTTATAAAAATGCAATGAAATATTTACAGTTTTTTGCTCGACGATGAATTTGCTTCCCAATTCCCTTTATATTGTCTTATTTTGTGTAAAGCTCAAAAACAACTAGCTACAATATTTTTTTTATTTTTATTCTTTTCAGCATTTTCTTTTATTAAAGGAGCATTTATATTAAAAAACAAATAAATAAAATATATATATTGTCTCTTTTTCTTATACAGCGAAATATAAAATTAAAAATTATTTTATTACAGAGACAAAATCTTTGTCTAGCTCCTCCTTGTCTGATAGAATAAAAACATATCTTAGAATTAAGAATTATTTATAAGATTTTCAAGCTTGGAAGTGTTAAGAATTTTATTTATTGCTTTTAAAAGGCAGAAATTTTATTTATTTTCTTCGATTAATGTTGACATTTTTACACAGGTTCTCCACATTAAAAATAAGAAATATGAAAAAATAATAAATTTATCGTGTTTTAAACATTAATTTTTTTATATTAGAAAAATGGAAAATATGTATATTATTCAATTTAAGCCAATTTGATATATGATAACTTATTAAAATAGAGATTTTTATTTTTTAACTATTTTTTCTCGAATAGAACTAAATATAAGCTTTCATAAAAATCGCTTTTAGTTTCATTAATAATCACAATACTTTCTTGAATTACAATAATTTTGATGTAAAAAAGAAAAACAAAAATGGTATACTAAAAATCTAAATTATATCGATTTTAAAGTTCATTAATAGTTTCCAAAATTCTGTAAAAAATAAACGGAATTTTATATTATTATTATGAAATAAATAAACATCTACTCAACTCGTTTAAAAAAATATATACATAAAATTTCTGCTCTAATAATAAGTAACAAATTCAGAATTTGTATAATTCAAAAATATAAATAGTTTCTAAAATATTTCTATTATGTCACAACATAAGGATAAGAACTGGAGCAAACATGTAAACATCATAAGTAAGGGATATGATTTCAAAGATAGGAAATCATTTGTCGCCATCTTGGATAGGAACACTCACTAATTGATTACTACTGGAAAAGTAGGTTATTACTGTTTATTATTGATTATTTATTAAAAACGCTGCATTCAATAGAGGAATCCGATAGCCCATATTGTTAATTAGTTGAACATTAATATTCTCTGATTGGTTAATCATGTTAATTATTCAATGTGTAGATGTGTCCTAACGGGATTCTTCTTGCATTCAAATATAAAACAAGAATTGATATTAGTTGTGTTCCTAAACAAGATGACCGCGATTTGGATTCCCTTTACGTTTTAAGAAATAGGGTTTATAAATATATGTTCTCTTCGTCTTTTTGTTTCTACGTGTTACAGTAAGTACTTTCCATTTACATGCACTTATGTCGACTTGTATTAACTTAAGTGAACTCAATCTCAATACGATAAATAGAAAGCCACGCTTGATAATGCTTAACTCACCATCTAAGCAGAGGATGCTTTCCATTTATAGTGACACAAATCGACATAAATCTAAAGTTCGTTCTTTTTAGCTGTATTAGTTCAGAGTTTATCCTTTTTCTTCCAATGTGGAGTAAAAAAAGATAAATTCTGAACTGGTGCAGCTAAAAAAGGAGACCTTAAATTTGTGTCAACTTGTATCACTAAATGCAAAGCACCCAATGTCGACTTGTGTCATCGATAAAAAATGATACAAATGTAATGGAAAGCAGAAATGATACTAGAAGTCAGGTTGTGTCAACTTGTACCACTAAATGGAAAGCACTCATTGTGGCTTTATCTTAGCTTGAACTTAAATTCTAATCTACAACAAAGGATGATTTAAGCCCCAAATTTTATGACAAAAAGCCAATTTACAATGTATTTATGGCCTCAAATGATCCTCATGCTGTCTTAAGCTTTAAGCGAGATGTGGCCTTCATTTAAACACAGTACAATAATTGTACACGATTCAATTGGACATCGTTCTTTTGCACTGTTCTTTTGCACACCGTTCGTTTGGACAGTTTTATTGCACACTGTTCATTTGCCCACCAGTGAATTACTTGTGTTGTTCTCATATATTGTTAATGACTGAAAGCATCGGTTGATGTGGAAAACCTATGTAGAATAAGATGAAATAGATTGAACTGTATATAAAGTATCGTGCCTATTTGCGACGTGTCCAATTGTATTGTGTGCAAATGCACCGCTCCTCTAAGCAGTTGATCAACTCCCAACTTTTAAAGCTTGAAGCTTAGGATTGACGTAATTTTTCTCTTAAATCTTCTTAAATCACCTTAAACCACCTCCTTTGTAGATTAGAACTGATGAATATAAGACAAGCATTAAGAGACTTAAATAAAACAAATCACAATCTTACCACCGTAGGTTGGGGGTTGCGTTGGCGCGGGCACAAAGCCGGTCGGTGGGTGCGGGGCCACCGGATACGCTGCAACACAAGGCAATGCGAAATGCAGCTTCCCTGAATTCGCAAGTCGTGAACGACATGTGTGTGTGTGTTCAATCTAAGCCAACATGGTACGTGGTACCACACTGCCAGAAAGGACGAGTGCCGGCGCACCGTTCACGTCCCGACGCGGTCTTCAAGGAAGACAATCTGTGCATTATCTTGGTAGATTGTAACTCTATCCGCGTCGAGCACGCGTAAAGCGCGTCGTCGAGGTCGGAACGCGGTTGAAGCTTCTTTTCCAATATGGTTCTAGAGTGATGTCTATTTTTGGTATTGATATTTGGCGAAAAAATTATACTCTAATTCGAAATCTGATTCAAAGCAGTCGAAACAAATCTTTAATTTAATTTTATTATTTACAATTCTTATTTCTTTAGTTACGTGCACAATGCGCGTACTTTTAAACCAAGGTCTAAAGCCCATATCGGATTACGAATGAAGATCGAAGCTTAAAGATTGGAATTTGGACCAATTAGAACAAAAAGAATAAAAATTATATAGGCCTTTGCTAAATAGAGAAAAAATGTCGATCGTAGGATCTTCAGTAGGCAACCATTTTGCCATTGAGTCATTCTATATTTCTTTCTTCTGATTGGTTAATGTTCAATCTTCAATCTGAATCTTCAATGCATAGTCTGATGTGAGTTTTAGCGAGTTTTCTCTCTTTCAATAGTGAATTCGATTCGAAATATTCGTTTTACAAATAATGGCGTTAAGATAATTTTGGCTTCTATAGAATTATGCTTGAAGATAATCTAAGATAATAAAAAATGCACTTTCGCCATAACAGAGAAAGATTGTCCAATGCGTTACCGACCTCCAAAATAGTACTCCCACACCCAAGTATATCTTACACATGACATACACCGTTTTGATCAAGGTACTATTTAAAGCTCAAACAATGTTAGTCACTAAATAATGGTGAAAAGAAATAACCGAAGATATCACGCCCGTCTGTCGCTCCCGGGGTCTTCCTTGAGCTTTTATTTCGCTCAATGTGAATTGCCGGGGTGCAGACGGACCTTTTTTTATAAAAACATTTACAAGGTGATCAACTCCTCATCTTGAAAGTCGACTAGATCTCATTTTTTTCGAAATTATTAATAAAACTATTTTATTTTCTTAAAAAATAGAAATAAAAGAATTATCTACAAGAGAACTTAGAAAAACAAAGTAAAAACAATTTCTGTATAATAATCAGTGATCAGTTTTTTAAAATAAAATAAAATTCAATATTTTCGTGTTTAATATAACTAATTGTATAATATAATTGATATGATTAGAAATAATTTCAGTTTTAACTGAACAATCGATAATTTTGTGTTAGATTTTTCAAATATCCTTTTTTTCTTAAGAAATTGATCACCTTAGACCATACCCTCTCATGGATCCATCGAGATTGCTAAGATCATCCACATAAATGGATCCACGCTCAAGGAGTTAAAACGAATCATGCTTGAGAATAATGTGATATTTTAATAAATTTTCTATCGCATTAAAAATTACAAATTGCCAAAATTTTTTTATTAAATATTTAAATGTGTTTCTCTTTAAAAGATTTTTTAAAGTTCTATTCAAAATTCAATTTGTGCACCGACGGTTATTCTCGAACAATGATTCGTTACTGAGCAACCTCTTTACTTCTAAAACTAAGATTTAATACGAAACCGATCTCAAAGCAAATAGCGTTACGCAATCAAGGTAGAAGCCAAATACATTCTTCTAACAGGTCGAGCCTGAGGAATCTCACTTAAATTAATGTATCATTATTTATTCAAATATATGACATCTTTAAGATTAATATCTTGTATTATTGCAAGTGCTCTTTGAATCTTTATAAGACTCGATATTTGGATGTTTTCGAATTGGAACATTTTATAATTTATATTACTTGACATTTGTTTATATAAAAAAATTTGGAATGTGATTAAATATTCAGAGAAATTTAATACTTCAGATTTTATTTTACTAAAAATTTTATTGGCAAATTTTTATTTGAAGTTTGAAGATTTTAATTTTAATAGCCTTCAAAAATTTGAAAACGTTTGTTCTAAGAATAAGGTAAACTTAAAAATTGCAAATTTAAGATTTTGCGTTTTTAAATAATTGGGATTTGAATTCTTGTTGACTATTTGTTTGAAATATTTTTGAACCTAATTTTTTTTAGCATCCTCATTCATTATTACATACATCTAAAATAGATTCAAAACAATCACTGCAATTATCAAAAATTTTCTCAGTTATCCGTTTACTTTGTTTCTTCGATTAATCATTATTATTAACCCATTATATTCCAATGTTTTCTTTAACTATACTTTTATGTTATTTATAAATTTGCAACAATATGAAAAAGAAGTAGAATGTGACTTTTGGACATAATGGGTTAAACATTAATTTAAATGATCAAATCAGCAAATCCTGAGGCTCAGCCGCATTTAAGAAACAAAAAACGACAAAACAGAGCTAAAATAAAGCTAGGAGGTAAAAAGGATAACGGTTGCTCCAAAAAGTGATGTTAAAACAAGCCCAAATAATTAAAGGACTCGCGATGTGAGAACGGCAGTCCATCTCAACATCATCATCATTATCGTTATCGTCATCATCATCATCAACATCATCATCATCATCATTATCATCATTGTTATTATAATCATAATTATCATTATTAACATCCTCATCATCGTCATTATTATATCATCATTATTATCATTATCTTCATCGTCATCCTCGTTATCGCCAGCGATGACGAGACGCGATTTCACAAGTCAAACCGAGAAGAAGAGGCTCTACATCTCTTTCTTTCTCTTTTTCGGGGCAGTGAATGTGTAATTTATACAATGAGTATAGTGGTACGATAATTATGTATATATATATGTATATAAGTATATACATATATATATATACAATATATATATATATAAAATATTATATATTTATACATATATGCATATATAGCATGTAAGACTATATACACATATCAGACTCCACACATTCAAAAAGTCGTGACAAGACTCAGCAAACCACAAATTTCTGCAAATATCCAGAGATAAAGGTTAAACATGATTAAAAGTTCCTCGGAATCGTGTGTAGTAGTAAATAGTTAATGTCAGCGACCGGCCGCATCGCGACGCCCCGCGAAACGCTCGACCGCCATTTTTTCTCTAATCCTTTTAATTATCTAAATCGCACCATGCGCTATTACGTGCCGCCGCCATTAAGAGGTTCAATTGTCTCCTTCCAAATTTTCTATATTTTTTCTAAATATATATATATATATATCTTTAAAAACAATATATTAAGATGCGACAAATTTGAAAAGAATATATATATATATTGTATACAAAAAACACAAATTAGAGAGAATAAATTACTATTTTATTTGAAAGAGAAGTAAAAAAATGAAACACAATAAAATTTCGATTCTCAAATGGTATTAATCAAGGAAATTCTTAAAAAATATTCATTTAAATTATATTAAAAAGTTTTGTTTCCTCACACATATAAATTATATAAACAAATTTGCAAATTATATAATCGTTACAGAGTTGTCAGAAATAAATTTTTAAAGGAGCAAATTCCCTAGAAAAAAGAGTTTTCTGTCCTCTAGGCGTCGTGTGCGCGATCGCGCTGGTGTTGGATGGATATATTCTCTAACATAAATGTCAGCCCACATCAAATTGTTCATGATATGACCAAAAGCTGATCGAACTAGCGGAGACAAACAATCCAGTGTGTAGCTTTCAACACGACCGTTTCTACGAGAGATTCTATATGAACCGTGATACAAATAATACTTTACTCTTGTATGTCCAAATATAAGTACTCGCTGTGAAGGAATCGGAAAAATAATAGCAGTAAAGTAAGAATAAATGGTATTAATAAGTCTCTGATGACACCTAAATCTCTTTCCTCTTTTAATTAGCTAGGATTCAATCTAGATAATTTGTTTAATCTTCTATACCGCAAAAAACATTGGTTAGCTTATATCCGCATGTTCGTGCAACTTTTGGGAAGTAATAAGTAAAATGTCTATGTGTCACGGTGCAAACAATAATTGAATCAGTCACAACCGATTGTAATATTAATGCTAGTACGGCTTAATAATAAAGTGTCTATCGCTCTCTTTTTTCCCTTCTGTCATGTACATTTTTTCTCTTTCACTTTCTCGATTTGTCCCAATGAGCAGTTCGACGCTATTCAAACATTACATTATTTTTGTTTTTTTGTTACCTCTAGTTTCAATAATTTCATATTAAATGGTCGATATAAACAATTATTACAAGAGTTTGTCTATTCTCTATCAGACGGTGATTCATCGAAATGCTTCCGTGGACAAGATGTGTTCTCGAACAAACTGGATCATCGGAAAAGTTGCTAAGAAAGACTATATATCTATAACTTCTCAATATCGATTTATAAAATGAAGTATGTAAAATTATAAAAATATATTAATATATCTTAAGATATATTAAGACATTTAATTCTTCGATCCCGATAATCTTTAGATCGTTATGAGGACACTCTTATTCAGTACCGACTAGCGTATTTACTAGCTACTTTGCTTGAACTCACTATTAACAAGTGTACCAATCTTATCAAATCATGCACATGCAGTCATCGTGACGCTGGAAGATCTCGCCGCGATTGCCAATTGATTAATTTAGCGAAAATACAGCAATATATAATAATATACACACACATATATATATATATATATATATATATATATATATATATATATAAAATGAACATAATAATATAAAGATGCAACGTATTTTTTTTCGCGACGGACGTGAAAAAAATACATTGTCTATAAGGCATGGGCGAGTTTTCCGGGGTAACGTCGAGATTTATGGAACTACGATGATCACACAACAATATACGACGATTCAAAATGATAACATTCGATCCTGCCTTTGCGAATATAGATTAGGATATGCGGCAAGGAGGGATCGAATGTGTAAATGAAGTAACAATGT